AAATAGGTGACTATACGGGCAAAGTCAGCTACTTGCTCCACTTGAATGCCATTGACCCGTGAAGCGTCCAACTTCAAATACGCCGCATCGGCCATTGCCGCTTGCGCCTTCAGAAAGACGCATGGACTGTGACCGTTTGGATCGGCCATCGTGAACGAATGCTGAAATAATCTTTTGAAATATCATCAAAACCAACATTAACTTCAACAACTCTTATGGAAGATCTGTGGCGCCAATAGTTGAGTGGCTAGAGGCCAACCTTCTATTCGAAAGGCCAGTGGGAACCAGGGTGAAAATCGGTCGAGGAAACGACAACGGCTCGTCGAGGATTTTCGCCTGATCTTCACGCTCTCCCGCGCGGACATTCACTCTCGCCACCGCGAGCCGTCTGTGCTCTCCGCGCGACATTCACTCTCGGCACTACTCTCGCACAGTAGAGAGCCATGGTCGAGGAATTCCTCGACCGTTATTCACCCTGGTGGGAACAACCCATCCCAACGCATCCCACCCCACTCCATCCTCCTTTCATAACCCGTCAAACTTCGATCAAATAAGTGGAGTTAGCCTTCGCTGAAAATGTAAAATACCTTGGATATTGGCCGCCACAAACACTTATTGCAAGCGTAAACATGCTTGCAAATAGGGCTACATTTCGGAAAAGTGATCAAATGCATGGCGCACCTTCAAGCCACTAATTAACGCTTATTTTAAAAGATTTAAAAAACACAATTCTCCCATAATCCCAGCTCACCTCCTAAAATAGCTATCGCTGACTCTGGTTGATCCACCTTATTGAATAATGTGGCCACGGCAACATAAATAGCATCCAGGCTTAGCTGACCGCCCTCTTCACCTTTCGATATCATTTTTTCTCTGTAAGACCAACGCAAATAAACAACAATATCTTCAAAATAAATACTTCAGTAATGGTTCAAGGAAAAGCGAATCAATAAAGAATCAATACTCACGCATAGGTCACAGCTGTCTTGTAGCAACTAAGCGCTTCATGTAGATCGCCGACTTGACGCCAGTACGCGGCTGCCGCCAAGTGTAGGTATGGATGAGCGCTAATGGTCTGCGAAAAAATTTTGATCATAAGTAAATGAAAAAAATTTTGATTATGGAAAAGGACATGAACTATTATATCTTTACTGTAAATCGAACGACCAAGTACGTGACACATTCGCGTCTCGCCAAGCCGCATCGCGACCGCGCGCGTCTGCCGCCAACCATCGATTGCATGGGGTAATCCATCTTCGAAGAGTACCAGGCAAGATATGTATATGCTCCAACACACCTCGAATTGATGCGACAATAATTTGGCGATGATCGCTCCATATCTTGGTGATGCCGTCGAGACGAGCTTCTTCACATGTGGGAAATAGCCTTTAAGAATCTCAGCATAGTCCGAATCAGGGATTCGCGTCTTCAGCTGCTGATCGTTCGCCTCCTAAATGCCAGTTATGAAGGCAATCAAATAGCAGAGGCTGGTCGTAAATGAACAATTCTGAGGACATAAAAAGCTTTGCTGGCCCATTCATCCATTGGAAATTGGCAACTGTTGTCCAACTTTTTTGAGAAGACAAAGTAGTGACCCGGACATTGCCTCAGCCCAAAGATCCACCACATAAGCCCAACCCAAATGCCAATTTTCGCGTGATTTTGGATACTGAATACGTGGCGCATCCTAGAATGATTGACCGACCGAACGTTCATTGCCAAGCATTCAACATACCTTCGGAAGGCCTTTTAATTGGCTTTCTTGATGCCACTGGCGGCATCGTGGTAGAAGCTTTTCGTCATCAGGTGCCATATCGAAATACTCCTTTACAAAAGCCGTGTACCTAAAATTGTATATTAGAAATCAGGACTGTTGACCATAGGGTATAGGAAAACGTATTAGATAGAAACATATATTTTTCAACATTTAAAAAGCCAAACAAAAAACATAAAAACAAACATAAAACGTCAAAACCATTCTTACTTTCTTTTGTCACGTGGAACAATTTCGTGCACTTTTGGATAAGTGAATAAACAAAAAAGTAAATAGACAATAAAGAAATAATTGGGATCCAAATTTTTGGAAGTAAACAAATTCAAATTCGATTTTTGCTATGTAATCACCGACCTTTCATAATATTTATGAAAGTCAGGACATAGCTCAGCAGAGTAGGAAGTTTTGAAGTTACTCCGATCCAGTCCGACACTGCCGACCAACTTGCAATGCTCACTTTCAGCTTGTAGACGTTTTTCGATTTCCGGGTCATCTCGAGCTTCCCGAGCATTTATCGATTTCTAAAGCACAGAATTTTGATTTCTTCAGAATGCTGCTTCGAACTTGAATTTTGAATTCATTTCTTAATCATACTGTTAGAATAATAGCAACAAAAATCTCTGACGCAAGTAGCTGCTAACTGGTTTTTGGCTATCCCGATCACGATCACCAAGAAACTTTGCAAACGCTGTTACTCATGTACTAATTAAGATACCATTTCATTCAATTTTATTATTTACTCATTTGTAAAGAAGGGACGCGAGGTGGTTTGCAGCGGCAAGTTGTGGTCGCACATGCTACGCGCAACGGTCTGCAGGTCGAACTCTGCATCAAATTTCATCCTGGTCAACCGCCTTTCATCCATACGAGGTGGGTTACCGGTAACAAACTTGATTGGGATCAAAGAAACGCCGACTGGTAGATCGGCTGTCCCCCCCCCCCACCCTTGAAAGGGGGGCGATTACGCATTGGAAGACAGGTGCTACCAAAATAAAGGTTGGAGAGTGAGTACAATGGTGTCGGTATGCTAGAAAAACCATTACGGAACAAATCTAGAACCGGGAGAAATAAACCCCTTGTTTGCCATTGGTTTCCGCAACGATGCGACTCCATTGATGCATGGCCCTCCAACACCAATGCTCTCAGCTGCTGAACAGCTGTAACATGCGGCAGGTTAGTAAAATCAGCGGTCGGACGTAGCGCGGCAAGGCGCCCGGGTGCAGGCGTATGTCTAAGATCGTGAGGGCATATCCTTCGCCCTATTGAAACTCGCGTGTGATTCGCACTTTAGAGGGTTCGCTTGTCTTTCGGGTAAGTTTCAAGTTTTCAGGTAGTTCCCCCTTCTTCGACCATTGACCTTATCGTGAAATCGTATCCTTTAAGTCGTTGTACAGGCCAATGCGTCCGAGAGCATACGATTCTGATGGAAGTAGGTTGCGTGGCGCAACCTAAAAATGCTGGTTGTTTAATCCTTATATATTTCGACCAGACATATTTCGGTTCTACTTTGAATCAGCATATAATTCAACACTTCCCTGATGGACGTTGTATTTGCGTGATTTGGACTTCTTCCAAGCCCCAAACCTTGGAAATCCTTTCTTAGGGTTTTAAAATAAAATTTGATCAAAGAACCTAGAAAGCAAAAAATAAAATCACTCACAAGCACATTACTCAGTTCAACATAGGTTTTGCCGAATTTCTTTACGCTATCCACTTGCCGCAGAAAATCCACCAACGATCCAGGATAAGCTAATGTGTATGGCGAGTCTGGCTGAAAAGAATTCTCGATAAATTCAACGTAATTCAAATTCAACTTATACTATAAGTAGTGGTGTATATTCAATATAGGCATAGATTTGGTGCGCGTATAATCAATATCCATTTTTCAGCGCGCCTATGATGAGAGGTGGGTCAGGTTTGCAATGGGCCGAGCATGAATTCTATGAGGGTCGGAAAAATATGGGGCCATTTGATGGAACTCGGCTACAAGCCGGAGCGTTGGAATGCGTCAAAATGGGGAAGATGTTATGAGTGAAAATGCATTTTTTTGGTCCCAGAACGACCCGGAAAGCAAGAAATGTAGAACCCCTAATAGGGCGTACGCCCATCTTTAAGGGGGAATATTGGCCATGAGAAACTTCGCCCACAGTTAGGCGGGGTGTGCATCTAAGTGGGCTAAACCAAAAAAATCGCCCATATCGCTTCCGAAACAATACAAAGACTTGTAAAGAAGAGGGATGGTAGAGCATGAGTCACCCTGTCATACTAATATATAAATTGGTAATTTTTGCTTCAAAATATCACTAGGAGGGCGGGTCAAGTTTGCAACGGGTAGAGCGTGAGCTTGGCAGCAGGGTCAGTTGGAAGAAAATTCTGACACCCTCCCTTACCACCCTCACTATCATTTCTATAGTAGTTGATTCTAAGACCACTTGACTCGCTTAACCTATTCCCCTCAAATGGGCGTAGCGGTGTGTGTGGGGGGATTCTCCAAAAAATGACCTGGTAAATTTTTACAAGAACAGCGCTAACATACTCAACCTTGCTCCTCTATCCTATGTTCAACCCTCCCTTCCTAGTCTAATATGCGACCCCCGTCCGACCCCGTCACTACTTTCAGTACTTATTAATTCGAGACAAATCTTTGCGAGTACTTCCTGCAGCGAAATGCTACACTTCCATCAACATTAGCGGAAACAGAAAAAAGAAACTGCCACACTTTGGGAGACTCAGGTCAGGATCATCCCACGAACAAGCCTGTCCTCAGCAGCCGTCTTTTACGCTCGGTATCGTGCGCAGCTCAACTGGTAATATGTGTAGTTAGGCTATGGATAGACCGGAATGGGAGAGTACGATTTGCAACTGAGACGAAGAGGCGCATATCAACCGGCGTAGTCCTCCGTGATACTTTGAACATCTTCGTTAACCTCGATGTCGGAGCACAAAAATCGGAGCAAGGCTGGAAGCCAAGTTTGGACTATATAATGGTCGTTGCATAATGATCGCCCTCAAACCAATTTCGCAGAAAGATGGGGCAATGTGGGGCAAGGCTTGTTCGTTGTGGAGAACGGATATGGAACGCCTCCCTCAATACTCACGGGTTGTTCTCGGACTCTGAATGCTCTTTCGCTTCTGTCAGTGCTTTTTCTTCTGTCAGCGCTTACTGTAGCCTAAGTGGTTCCTCGAGTTTTTGAAGGGCATGAAAGCGAGCTGCCATAAAATGGGCATTGTGAAATGCCACAGCGACAATGCATCGACCCAAATGGCGACGCCAAACAGGAATAAAGGCCCTCAAAACTCGAAAGAAAGGACGGCTGTTTGCATATCCTATGAAAGAGTAGACATTACTTCTAAAACTGCCACCATAAATAGAAGAATATAGCATTATTAAACGCAAAACGAAGCCCTGATACCAAAAAAGAACGTTTCGAGAATGGAAGGAAATTGTTATGAATTAATCGGGCCATAAACTTTTTTCGTAAAGTATACAAACTTCAAACCCTACCACAGCTTCGATTTTCTTCTTGTCATCGCTGATTTTCCAGTAATGAACGCTGAAAACATCATGGAATATCACCAGACAAAGTAAGAATTTCGCCCATTTTGTCATCAGCGAATCTGTAAAGCGAGCTCATTGTTCCTTGTTTTATGCAACCGAAAAGATAGCAATGATTGAGAACGTTGAGGAGGTTAAACAATCGTTTTCTAGGATACGCCACGCACATGACTCTCACTCGGTGACAGGATATTGAATGAGTTTCCGGCCTATACAACAAGCTTACGAGGGCTTACAAAAAAATTTAATTTTCCTTCATAGGCAAACGAGATACCAATTGATCGTCGAGAAAAATGTAAAACTAGGTTGACCTGGCCGAAATTGCAACCAGAATTCTAACGTTTGCAAAGAAGAAGTCAAAAGCGAACACTAGAAAGACTATAAAAATATAAAACAACGGGTACAAGTAAACCTTTTGCAAATGCTTTCCGCGTACTCGTTTCAAAAATTCACGAGTAATCCGACACGAACGTTCACTTGTACAAAATGAGTCGATATTCATACAATAGTTATTATTCTTTCTAACAGATGTGATCGTCTTCCTATACAAGTCCAATATCAGTTTCATGTAAGTCCAATATCATTCAATCAAATAGGAATGAAAGGATAAGTGGGGCTGGATCTCTTCCTACAGACCGTACCTACGCGGACAAGGCAAAAAATTCTGTGCAAGTACACTTCAAATATCACAAAAAGGTTTTGACCAACCGTTGCCGTTAACGGTATTCATCGGTTCTTTGATTTATGCTTATCCTACCGTTCGTACAATTGAGGGACCCCATCATTACAGAAATCAAGGCGCATTGAAGCAAGTTTGCGAAGTCTAAAGGTGTTCGAATTTGCTTGAAGAAAGAGAAATCCTTCACCATGCAGACATGAAGTTTAGGAAGTGCTGTAGCTTGTAGGGTGGAGGATATGAAAGGTACTGTATCATGCCCTATCATGGGGGTGGGGTGGGGAGACATTCGTAGAGCTGATGGTAGGTGACTCTAGAACAGAGCCGAGAAGGGAGACTCGTCAGAAATTCTCATATTCTCACTCAGATTGCTCCCGTTTCCTTGAGGCTTACTGTCAATCCCTAAGCACAGCAATTGGCTCACCCACTCGGGCCACTCCACTCCCCTCCCCAAAAGCCATGAGCGTCAGAAAAGATAAGGGGCACTTGCACTGTGTCACCCTTGTTCTAGGTACTTTGTAAGAACGCATCTCAAAGAATGGAGTAAAGCTCCATCCATTCTATCACATCAATTAGTATCCACGCCGTCTTGGGTGTGAAAACCTTCAAATGGGTCCATGGCAGAAAACTGAATTCACGGCAAAAATATGAAAAGTCTACGAATGGATCTAACCAGAGAAGACTTGCAATTCCCCAAGGAACTTTGGACGGACAGACCCAGGTCAATCTACAGGTTACTGAGGATACTAGACCCAATAAGACACTCAAAGTGCTATGGTTAAACTTTCCAAGCAATGTGAGCAGGTCAAATTCTTCTGATCCATTTATGCAATGTATGCTATACGAAGTTATTACGGGGAAGTTTAGTCCATCACGGACCGCCATTACGTGTGTGCATCTCCGTAGGTTATTGTTGTTTGTTTTATTGGCAAGCAATAACCTATCAGTAAATTCAGCAGTGTCCAAATATATGGTAATCTCTGTGCTCGAAAGAGCTTACTGGTGAATTTGTTACTCAAAAAATGGCAGTTAAAATCGAAAAATAACGCTACTTTTTGTGCAGTGGAGTGCTGCACATGGTTTAGCACGCGGTCCGCAATGGGTTTGAAGCCTTTTGGCCAAAAGAAAGAACTTTCATAGACCGTGATTGAAGCCTGGGGGTACAGCTTCCGTAACTTAATAGAATTATTCAAATATTAATGGTAATGAAATGATCATCCTAATGCACGAAAAAATTAAACGAGCAATTTAATCAATTCTTCCCCTTAATTACAATTTCCAAATATTATTTTCGGCCCCATTACTCTAACAAAAAATATCTGAAATAGGACAATCTGCGGTTTCAGTTGGAGACATAAATTGAGTAGATAGAATTGACAGCAGTGGAGAAATTGAAGGAGCGAATCTGACTACCAAAATTAGATTAAAAGAGTAATTCAGAAACAAAAAATCTACCTCGTTTCATGTTTTCAACAATTTTCAACACTATTAAAAAACAACTGATTGAAAACTCGTGAAAAATTGCCTCAAATTTGTAAACAAGAGAAACACTCCCCAACAACAAGCGTTGAACAAGGAAAAGCCATTAGAACACGACAAATTAAGGCCACCAAAGAGGAACAGACGGGGCTGAGATGAGCAAGAGAACGCGGCCGTCGATGAGACCCAGAACGGAGCGCATCAAGAAAACTGCTCGGGCCAGCCTGCAAGGCCACCTCACACTCGTGTCCATAAGATACAACACGTGGACGTCGATCAATCAATACAGTTCAAATCGATTGTGCGCATTTTATTGATTCATTTAGATGATGAGAAATCATATTCAGAACGATCTTTATTGATTATGGTCTTGTAAGGAAGTCCAAGGTGAACGCACTTTTGATCGATAATCATGAGAATGATAGGATGTCTTTGATGCTGAATTGACCTTGTTTCTTACAAAAGCGGTATGGTTCATGACACTGAAAGATTAAAGGACAGTGGTTGGTTTGAATGCGGCTTAGTGACACTTTTGAGGTGAGCCACGCACTAGATTTCCAATATGAACTAGAGAAATGTTTGAAGGTGCATTTGGCCCGTGCAATGAGTTGCGAGCGCCTACCAATGTCTAAATCAGAGCATTCACTCCAGACAACCTTGGGCCAACTATCCCGAAGGAATAGGTCTGGTTGGACGTAAGAGAGCGGATCCATGGTCATGGCGGTGATAGCAGTGCATCTAACCAACTTTGCCTCTATCATTAATGGAACCCTCAACATCAATTCCAGATGAGGTAGCAAGTTCGAAACTCGTTCAGGTAAACCCTTTCTTCATCTCAAAGAAGGAGAGAGAAGGTTCCTATTGAGAGGTTCATCGGCAGCTCCTCTTGCTTTCTTCATTTTCAGTCAACTTGACATTCACACTTTCATTGTCGACTGCTGATACCAATTTACCCGGAGTTTATTTATTTATTCATTTTGCTTCGCCCGCTATCGCGCGCATCACACGGCAGGCTTTAGCGAAACTGGAGGACCCATGGAATATCAGCATGAGATACTCCATTAACCACCTCACTATTGAATGTGTTAGACCTTTCCCAGTTTCGCTGAAGTCCATCGAGAATACGCGTGATAACGTCTGGAGCTGAACTGGTATATCTCACAACTGTAAACATCCAGCATTCTTCTTGAATTAAGATAATTTAGCGGTGAACGAAATATGCCTATTTACATAAGTGAGGAGCTAAGGCTTATCATTTATTTACTTTTACCATTATTTAGAACCCTGAAAGGATTAGGATTGATGAGTCTCAAAATGAAAATGAACATATGCCTATTTACATAAGTGAGGAGCTAAGGCTTATCATTTTATTTACATTCACCATTATTTAGAACCCCGAAAGGAGCGGTTCAATGATGTTTGGGCTTTCTTGATATTGCATTAGAAATGAAACTATCATTTGCTGAAGAGTTGATGCAGTCGACCTCCATTAACTAAGCTGGTCATACAATGATACAATGTGCACGTACCACTACAAATAGAATTTGTAAGTAGGTACGCTCTAGTGTCAGCGCAAGCTACATAACGGAATCGACGACTTTTGCGTTCTGACGCGCCTTATCAGCCTTTATCAGTTGTAACCACTTCCCATCACCTACCAACAATGTCCCCGTCCCACCCCACATAACACTTGTAAGTATGGTTGCTCTGGTGTCAACGCGAGCCAGGTAACGGAATCGACGACTTTTGCGTTCTAGCGCATCTTATCAGCCCTTATCAGTTGCTATCGCTTCCAATCATGTACCACCAATGTCCCGGGACCCCCACATAAACTTGTAAGTATAGACGCTCTAGTACCAATATGAACGACAAAACGAAATTGGCGATGCTCGCTTTCTAGCCCCTCTTATCAGCTATTATCAGTCGTTATCAGTTCCTATCACGTACCACTTGTGTCCCCATCCCACCCCCTATAACATATGTAAGAACCACTGCGCTATCATTACTGTGACTCGAGCTATGAATTTCCGGTCAAACACACACACACCAACAGACACACGCTAGCCGCTTATATGGTAGCAATAAAAAAAGACATTTTGTCTCCACTTTCAGATGGATTTAAGCACACTTTGCTCAATTGAGACCGAGTGTTCCCAACTTAATATTGAAGAGCACATTTCATTCTATAAGAAAATCTTCATGGTGGCCACCACGTGGACGGCATCAGAAGAATTTGCCCTGGAAACATGGTGCACTGGTCGAGCTCAATGGGGTCTTCGAAGGATCGTGTACCATAACGACCTTTACTGGAAAGCTAGTTCCGAGGGGATTTGCATAGTGGGAGCTAATGCCTCTAGAAAACTATCCAACATTAAATCGATTCACGAAATTGCGTAAGAGCTTCAGGCTGAAGCTCTTACGGTAGACCTCCTTGAGCCTGACGACGGTGACAGATGACGTCATATTCTGAAGACGGTGAGGGCAGTGAAGGAGGGCCTGCGTTCACTTATAGAGGGACACTTAGGGAATACTCTGCTGAGGAACTCCCGTCAACGACGGCAATCTCTGCGAAGAAAAAAGAGCCGAAGTCCGACATAGGCAAAATGTCTTTTTTTTTTTGCCCCCCCCCCTGTATATGGAATAACTTCGTATAATGTATGCTATACGAAGTTATTACAGAATGTAAAGTTGTTGCTTAATAACATAACCCTACTTTGCGAAGAGATATTACTATACGCGCTTGAATCAAACTAAGCCATTAATGTAGGGGGGGGGATGGGTTTAGATCTATGCGTGCTCTGCGTCTCTAGTGCTAAAAATGGGCTATCGCTAGCGGTAAGGGCATCACTTTTGATGACACGTCCACTAGAAGTAACTCCTTGATAACGAATGGGAAGTG